GTCTCCACCTCTGCGTCAACACTTTTGCACCAAGTCTGATTTGACCTCATCTTTGTTGCCATATTTATTACAACATTTCGGCCTTTCAGTATCTGTCTATATTTCTGAGATGAGGTATTATGTACATTATTTACATTATTCGGACTATTGTCCTAATCTTTGTCGCCATATTTATTACAACATTTCAGCCTTTCAGTATCTGTCTATATTTCTGAGATGAGGTATTATGTACACTATTTACATTATTCGGACTATTGTCCTCATCTTTGTCGCAATATTTATTACAACGTTTCAGCCGTTGTACGCTCCATCCTTCTTCAGGTGGTTGGAATGTCGAACTGAATCCTTTATTTTGCCTACTGGGGTAGACTGTTCTAGTTCCACGTGCCATGTCTAATGGATGTCAGTTATCAGTTATCTCCTGCCTTTATCCACTGTGCCATGTGTCCTCAAGGATACATGGCACAGTGGATACAGGTGTTAGTTAGATCCAGTGACAGGTCCCAAAGAGTGTGAGTTCAATACCTGGTTATGGTGGTGGAGAACTTGGGGAGGGAATTAAGTGTACAACGACTGAAACGTTGTAATAAATATGGTGACAAAGATGAGGACACTAGTCCAAATAATGTAAATAGTAAAACCAATATATATACAAAAAACGATAATGTATTGTTAACAAGGCAAAAAGTTACATGGTTATGAGTGACACAGACAATGATGTATGTACGTGAGACAAAACATTTAAAGAGTAGTGAATTTTTTGTGTATGAAAAATGTGTGTAGACGTCCTAGAAAAAATGGTGTTTTGTGTATGTATGTGTGTGTGAGCGTGCATTTGTATATGCGTTTCCCAATGAGAAACACGTTTTCATGATAGACCTACATCCTAGCGTGTCCCAGGAAAAATGGAAGAAGAGAAGGATAGAAAATATTACAGTCTCTTTATAGGTTCAGAAAGCATCTCCTAGTGGCTTTTTTAGTTATCAAAGTGGGGTTAACTCTACAAACTTTTAGGCGCCCAGAGAAATAATTTTGAGCAAGTCTTTACACAGTGGTGTAGCTAGAGTAAACGTCACCTGGGGCGGTCCGCTCAAATGTCACCCCAATGACCCTGATTCACCCTATGCTGAATGGTTAGCTGTAGCTAAATTTTCATACATGTTCTACCTCTACTTTACTCTACTGACCGGTACGTTACTGTTTACATGTATGATCCAACACAAAATCCAATACATTGTAACCCGGATATAAGAGAGTTGTCGGGACCAGAAATATCCTCTATTTTATATATCCTAATTTGGGGGAAAATCTCTCTTATATCCGGGTTTCTCTTATATCCGGGTCTCTTATATCCGGGTTACACTGTACCACAAAATAATCAGTTCAAATCAAAAGATTTTTAAAATGCAACTGTTCACTTTCAGAACAACTAAATACAAAACACGGCAATACACAAAAGAATGACATTCGATAATATGGTCTTAGAATGAATGTTTTCTTGTTTTCATTGTGGCAAACTGGTCAATGACATCGTCAAAATCTGTTTGTCTTGTAAGCTCGTTTTCAATGGACAGCACAGCCAGATCCGACAGTCTCGACTGGCTCATGGTTGACGTAATTTTCTGTTGCTAATTTTCCAGTGTCCAACTTTCTGTTGCATCATTTTCTGGGTACCATTTTAATTATCAATGATGTTTGAAAGTATTTTTCTTGACAAAAATGTTCTATTTAATTTTTAAGCATTTTTCGGAATATTGTAAATCAACTGCATTCTTTTAAAGGTTACCTAGAGAATTTATGCAAAGTTTATTTTTTTGTTTTTCTTTATACAAGTAAAATAAATTTACATCATATTTTGAAGTTGATTTTAGTTTTAGTGGTAATTTAAAAACAATAAATATTTATCATTAGTACCAATAATGGAAAATTAAGTTAAAAATTGTTTTTGGAATCGGAAAATAGGCACAAATTTTTCCGACACCCCAAAAAGTTCCGATTTTTTCGATTCTCGATTCCAATTAATCGTCCCAACACTAGTAGATATATCTCAAAAGTATATCGCTCTCTCAATGGAAAATTGTATCTCAGCGAATTGATACACAGGCAAGACTGAAATTGTTGCACTTTTGGCTTCGTATTTCGCTTTGTTGTTGATGCAGAGTTAAAACACCATATCATCAGATATAAAATGTTACAACAATGTCTCTTGTTAGTAACCAAGATTGTAGCAACTGAAACACATGAAAGCTGAAAACATTGCTATTTTTCCTACTCACAAATTTCCCGACAATTTATTAGAAAATTTCTGACGGGAGGACAAAACTGGGGGGGGGGGGTCATATGACCGCCTGCGAAACCCTGTGTCTCCACCACTGTTTTCAGACTATTTTTGACACCTTGGCCTGGTTGAAAAATTTTGTTGGGGGTGACATTGTGTCACCCCTCATGTGCTGGCACCCGGAGCGGTACGCCCCACCCCTAACTACGCCATTGTCTTTACATGAGCACTTTTTCTTCCTTTAAGTTAAAAGACTTTTCTTCTCACTTTCTCTCATATTTTGTATATATCCCTTTGCCTTTTTTTTGGGGGGGGGGAGGGGTATGTAAATAAACATTTTTTTTTCTATTGTTTCACCCCGAGCAGGATTTTTTTTTGAGTCTCCTAAATTCTCCTGCCTAAAAGAGAGAATTGTCTGCTGTAAACTTTCGACCCGTTGTTGCTTTTATCGATTCTGTCACCTTTAACTTTAAAACCCTTTCATATGGAAAAGCCGGAACAAATTTCTCACAAGCAATTTTTAACACAAACCATCTGCCTTCATAAAAATACACTTCTCTCAAATGAACGTGTATTAAAAAAAACAACTTAGACGATTATACATTTTTAATGCTAACATTTTTATTAACAATAAAAGTTTTATAAACCGAAACGTGATAAGATCATTTATTTTTAAACATAGAACTTTCTTTACTAATATCTTGATTATTGCACTGTTGGTTTTTCCTATTTCTTTCATTTTAATTTTTAAATTTTGCGCGCTTTTTTAGTTTGGGGTATTATACATTTTTTTATTTTTCACTTTTGATTCCATACGTTATCGTGCTTAATTAAATAAAATAAACGTTATTTTAATTAAATTTTCAATAAAAAGTAAACATTACTTTTTTTTACAAAATCCAGTTAATTAATCCTTAAATTTACTAAATGTCTTCGAGGCATCTAGGATGAATTTTTAAGAGATTTTTAGATTTGTTGCTTACATTATTTTTCTGAATAGTAACGTTTCGATGAGTGACGAAAAACATTTTAAAAATGTCTAAAATTTAAAAAAAAAAAGATTTATATACGAAAATTATTTTTTAATTCGGATTAGCTATTATTTTTCGAATAAAACCGAAATCTAAGTTCAAAGACGGTATTTAAATTATTTTAAATGCCCTTTTTTAGGAACTTCGTGACGGTAAGTTTTTTTTACTTTTTAGTCAATCGAAAATCGCCACTAAAAACAAGTTTAATTTCGCAAATGACTTGGAAGTAAATAAAATTAAAAATGCATAAGAAAAACATATTTTTCTAGAAAAATACATTGGATATATACCTAAACTTTATTTTTCCTGTTTATGATTTGGCTCACAGCACAATCTTCCTGATTTCCTCCTTTTATAGTGTAAGTATTGTATTATTTTAGCGAAAAAGAATGCCGCCATGTTTGTTAGGTCACGTGGGTGCGTCGCGTTGCCATTAGCAACAGAGCCGCCATCTTTTTTTTTCCTGTCGCACAAGGAAAATAATAAACAAGACGGATTTTTAGCGAAAAAATGGAAAAATCTGAGAAAGAAGAGGAAACGAAAGTTCCATTAGAGGAGAAAGGACCTGAGGACGACCAGTTGGCTGAAGAAAAGGGGTCCATCGTTTCAGATGATCAAACGGTTGGTCACTTAGATGACAGTGCTGTGATTTCGACGACGGAATCAGAAAAAGTCGAGACGATTGATTCTGAAAGGAAGAATTTGGTCGACGAAACTGCAGGAACCTCGGTAGATTCAGGTGAGAAGGAAGATAGTCAGGTGGGAGGTGAAGTTTTAAAGCAAGACACGCCGGCTTCGTATCCGAAAGATGAGGATAGGGAAATTTTAAAAAAAGGAGAGAAAAAAGAAGACATTTCTCAGGAAGGAAAAGAAGAAAAAATTTCTCAAGGAAAAGAAGAAAATATTTCACAAGAAGAAAACACTTTTGAAGAAAAAACTTCTCAAGGAGAAAAAATCTCTCAAGTAGAAGAAAAAACTTCTCAAGAGGATGAAAAGAAAGATTCCCAAGAAGGAAAAGAAAAAATTTTCCAAGAAGAAAATAAAGAAGAAATTTCTCAAAAAGAAGAAAAAAAAGAAGAAATTTCTCAAAAAAAAGAAAAAAAGAAATTTCTCAAAAAGAAGAAAAAAAAGAAGAAATTTCTCAAAAAGAAGAAAAAAAAGAAGAAATTTCTCAAAAAGAAGAAAAAAAAGAAATTTCTCAAGAAGATAAAAAAGAAGAAATTTCTCAAAAAGAAGAAAATAAAAAATTAATTTCTCAAGAAGATAAAAAAGAAGAAATTTCCCAAAAAGAAGAAAATAAAGAATTAATTTCTCAAGAAGATAAAAAAGAAGAAATTTCTCAAAAAGAAGAAAAAAAAGAAGAAATTTCTCAAGATAAAAAAGATGAAATTTCTCAAAAAGAAGAAAAAAAAGAATTAATTTCTCAAAATGAAGACAAAAAAGAAATCTCTCAAAAAGAAGAAAAAAAAGAAGAAAGTTCTCAAAAAGAAGAAAGTTCTCAAAAAGAAGAAAAAAAAATTTTACAAGGAGAAAAAACAATTTCCCAAGAAGAAGAAGATAACAAAGAAATTTCCCAAGAAGAAAAAAACAAAAAAAAAACTTACCACTTGGGAAAAGATGAAAAAATTCCTCCTCCACCTGAATTAGAGAAATCACCAACAACCCAAGAAGAAGAAGAAGAATCAAAACTGATGCCAAATTCTGCGCTGGTGATTAAAAAAATCCTTTCTTTTCTTTCCTTTTTTACTTTTTTTTTTTTTTAAATCTTTTATAAGTGGGGCAAAGTGGGTCTATTGACAAGATTTTTCAGTATCATTTTAAATAGACTGGTCTACTCAAAACATAGGGAAAATTCTTTTTCTGAAATAATTTTTGTGCATTACCATTCTTTAGACAAGGCATTGGCAACCTTATTCAAGCAGTGGGTGGCACGATCTATATGTCAACATAGGCAGACAGCATGACTAAAATCATTCAAGGTAATTTTTCATAGGTACCTCAGCTATTTTCACTATATGTGTAAGCATATACCTTAAGAATGGGGGAAAATCTGTTTTTGAAGAAGAAAAGATTTTTCAATAATTAAAAAATTAAAGTTTTGGTAATTTTTGATTAACATACATCCTTGCATGTGATTCATCTCTAATTTATTCATTTGAAAATAAAGACATATATTTCTTAAGAGCAAAAATTCTTATGAACATTTCCTGTTTCAGAAGCAAAATATGTTTACACTTACAATCTTCCTTAGTGAAAATCGCCAATGGTTTAAAATGATAAAAATGTTATTTTTACCAAAAGTTTACAAAATTCAAGAAACATTGCACTTAATCACTATTTAATGCAGTTATGTATGAGAGAATATGTGAGTGAACAAGTGAGAATGAAAGAAAACAAAGTTTTTGAAATTAAGCATGCCATTCAGAAAGACCAAACAGGCTGCAGTTTGCCCATAACTGTACTAAACTATTTAAATACCTCTGTGTATGGATCAGTTATAACCAATTTAGTATCAGAGAAAAGGAAATGGCTATTATGATTCCTCACCAGGTGAGCCACACTACTAAAAAGATTCAAGGTAATTTTTCATAATAGGTACCTCAGCTATTTTCGTAATAGGTACCTCAGCTATTTTCATAATAGGTACCTCAGCTATTTTCACGAGAGAAGACCATATATGTAGCATATACATTAAGAATAGGGAATTCTTTTTAAAGAAAATATTTTTCTATAATTAAAAAATTGAAATCTTGATATAATAATATCACAGAAGACAGTATGATTAACACAAATTACTACATGTGATTAATTTCTAATTTATTCATTTGAAAATAAATACATATATTTCTTCTTTTCCTGTTTCAAAAGCAAAATATGTTTACATGTATGATCTTCCATAATAGAAATAACCAATTGTTGAAAATGTTAAAAACGTTATTTTCACAGAAAGTTTACAAAATTCAAGAAGCATTGTAATTCATCATTGTTTATGTATGTGGTTATATGTGAGACAGTGTGAGTGAACAAGTGAGGACAAAACAAAACAAAATTTTAAGCAATGTTATTTGCTTTATAAAATTAAGCATGCCAGTCAGAAAGTCCAAACGCGCCACATAGTACCCTACAAGCCTCAGTCTGCCCATGACTGCTTTAATCTTTGCTTATGCCACAACACTTGTTGGAATTTTTAAAAAAATATAAATTTTTTTATCAATTTATAAGGAAGATCCAGTTTATCTATATAGTGTCAAATAGATCCCTGACTTTTACAAAACTTAGTTGTTTTACGAACAAAAGCAGATATTTTTTTTATTGGGTATGCATTACAAAAAGATTACTTTTAAATAAAGGACAATCATATATTGTTAATTGAAGAGCAAAAATTTAACATACACTAATAAAAGTATGTATCTGTTTATTCGTCATTTAAGATAAAAATAATTATTAAACACAAATGTTTGCTTCTCATAAAATTTCATACTGAAAAAAAAAATATTTTAAAGTAAAAAATTTTTTTTTAAATCTGTAAATATCAATAATGTTGCCACACTTCCAAACTTGTTGTTTGTAAATAAATGTTAAGTCTAATAACTCTGTAAAAATCAGGGATCGATTTTACACTATACTGATATTATGAACGGACCAACACCCCCCCCGCCCCATCTTCTAAAATGAAAAAAAAAACATTATTTTTCAATTCTGACAAGTGTTGGTGCCTAAGTAAGAGTTAAAGAATGCTAATGTAGAGAAATTATTTAAAAAGAAATCTTTTCCCCCCACGTTTTTTTTAATGGGTCTATTAACAAAAAGGGATGAAAATAACTAAAGTGTTTGTGGAAATTGTTACCCCAATTTAATTTTTAGGAGGTGGTTTTATTGTATTTGACCAAATTTAAAATTAAAAACATCAATTTAAAAAAAAAAGTGAGAAAAATAGGCAAACTTTTGTTCCAGCCAAAAAACCAGTGTGTCAAAAGGACAGTTTTTCCTTTGACACCACTATTATTTTGTACTACCTTCACACCCTTGACAATGTTTATTTACAAGATTATAAAATATGTGAACCAAGTACAATGTGATTTTTATTATTTACCATTTTATTGAGAAATAAATATGAAAAGAAATGTGTTTTTACTTTTTTTTGTTAACCATTTCTTCTCAAAGAAGGCAATAAAGCCACTAGGACACAAGAGGTTACTGAATGTTAGAGAATATGAGAAAAACTACTATTAAGGAGAGAGGACAATAAAAGAAGAAGAATTAAGAAGACAGAAGATACCGATTGACATTGCATTTAAATGTTTGAAGATCAAAGGCAATAAAGCCACTAGGACGCAAGGGGTTACTGAGTGTTAGAAAATATGAGAAAAACTACTATTAAGGAGAGAGGACAATAAAAGAAGAAGAATTAAGAAGACAGAAGATAATGATTGACATTGCATTTAAATGTTTGAAGATTAAAGGCAATAAAGCCACTAGGACGCAAGGGGTTACTGAGTGTTAGAGAATATGAGAAAAACTACTATTAAGGAGAGAGGACAATAAAAGAAGAATTAAGAAGACAGAAGATAACAACTGACATTGCATTTAAATTTTTGAAGATCAAAGTTGATTGGGAAGCCAGAAGAGATTTTCACAAGTGAAAAGTGTAATAGAAGAAAATGTTAGCATAGAACTTACAGTTTCATCTAGCTGCTTCCACTGTAGAATGATGAGACCTTGCCACTGATCTAGTAACTGTGCTTAAAGTCTTGCTACCATAGAGGAAAGTTCATCAAAATTATTACCATAAAAGTATTTTACTCAAAAATTTTTTTTAAATTTTTAAAATATATAAATCATCTACTATGCAATATTTATTATTTACAATTTTATAAATAACAAATTCTTTTTATTCATAATTTTATAAAAATATTAATGATTTGCTGCATGAAAGAAATTTTTGAAAATTCACAATTACAGTTACTCAGCGTTATCTGTTTATTTAAATTTTTATGCTTGACAGACGTTTTTTATAAATTTATGGATAAAAATATTTATTTCTTTATAAATTAGTAAATGATAAACATTGCATTGTATTCATTCATTTGAATTTTTAGGAAGTTGTAAATATAAAATTATTCTTGTAAATAAAATAAATGTTTAATATCTTTGTTGTGAATTCTCAAGAATAAAGAAAATGTATGAATCCACTTTCATATGTTTGAATTGTATTAAAATTTTAACCACCGTTTTTTAAAAATATTTAAACATAGCCGTGGGAGTCAAAAGTGTATACAGTAATAGCAGTATCCAGGAAATAACCAACCTTTTGACTTAACATTGAATCAAAAGAACGGTTATTCCATTGACACATTAATACCACATTTTATCTCTCAGATTAATTCTAATCTTAATTTTCTAATTTTTATAAATTTATGAATAAAAAAATTCTTTTCCTATTTACTTATTTACTATTTACTTATTTAAAATGGTAAATAATAAATATTTCATGGTAGTTGATTCATATATTTTTATAATCTTGTAAATATAAAATTATTCTTGTAAATAAGCAATCTAATAAATAATTAGTGTTTAACATCTTTGTTGTCAATTCTCAAGAATAAAGAAAATGTATAAAGCCATTGTTCAGACTATTGTCCTCATCTTTGTTGTCATATTAATGATGTTTTGGCTGTTGTACTCTTTGACCTTCTTCAGGTGATTGGAAATTTGAAATGAAGCCTTTATTTTGTCCATGGAGGTAAATTGTTCTAGTTCCACGTGCCATGTCTCTTCCAGATATCTCAGTTCATTATTTCCTTTTAGTAACTCAATTCTCCAAGTTATTTGTTCAACTCTTCTGTGACCAGGTATTGGATTCACAACTATTTGGGTCAAGTCACAGGTTTAACAATGCTTTTATCCTCAAGGACACATGGCCCAGTAGATAAAAGCTATTGGTAATCCATGACTTGGCCCAAAGAGTTGTGAGTTCAATACCTGGCCACAGCAGAGGTGAACAAATAACTTGAAAAGTTACAATAATTACAAGAAATATATCTCAGAAATATAGACAGATATGTATAAATCCATTTTCATCTGTTTGGGTTTTATTAAAATTCTAGTCATCACTTTTTGAAACAACAAACATTGCTGAGGGAGTGAAGGTAGTTAAAATAATAGCGGTATCAAGGGAAAAACCATCTTTTTGACACATTTTTTTATTGTGGACATGAAAGTTAAAAATTGCGAAAAAAATGATTGCAAATAGGTTGACTGAAAAAAAAATGCTATCATTTACTAAATTTACAGTGGAGGGTTTTGAAATGGACATATAACAATTAAAAAGGGTATACATGTGTATGTGTGTAAGAAAGTATGCCTAGTTTTGTATATGTGCTTGTATGTGAGAATGGGCACATGGCCAAGTGGTTACAACATTTGCTTTCCAACCTTGAGACCCTGGTTTGAATCTGAATATAACCAGGGTTGATTTGTTAATGAAGTGACTTTTTGATGTTAACAGTCTGTAGAAGCAATGTCAGTGTGCAGCACCTTTGAAAAGTGCCTATATGTCTATGGGTTGACCAAAGCCTTGCGAGTGAAGTTGGATATACAGAATTGTCGATAGTTGTCATAGCACAAAGTCACATGTCATTGTGAGTGAGGGTTTGTGCACACTGGCCCTGTTCAAGCTGTGGATCACGCCAGATAATGCGCTCTCTCC